GCGCAGAATGGAAATTAAAACCCGCGATAGTAACTCAATCCTCCCGAGCACGGTCGGAACGGGACCACAGTCCAGTCGTATCAGGCGCATATCAGGCGGCTACGACGTGTGGTTTCCACGGCAATGGTGTAAACAAAACATCTAAATCAGCCATGATTCGGTCTCTGTGCCCGGCTTTTATCAGCAATAACGTATCATACATCCAAGACACACATCTTTAGATGTAAGTGGATCCAAGTTTTGATACATTTTATACAAGTGGAGCGAGATAAAAAAATTAGTTTTGATAATTATGACACAAATTTCTGGAATTTTTTTTAAATATTTGAAAATTATTATTTTATCATGTCCAGTGTGTTTGTAGACGTTTTGGGGAGCACGTGCTCTGGTCCCCCCCAGCACCATCCGCCCCTGCTTTAAGGACCCCTCTAATTTTACACCGTTTTGTGTGTTAGTTAATTTTGACAATAAGAAAATGAGAAAATATTGATAATAAAAACCACATGAAAATCAATGTATGTGAACATTGATATTAACTATCATCGTACTAAGTGAAAAATCACCCGGAAATGACTAGATTTGCGAAAGTGACAACCTCTAGTTTTGCCGTTTTGAAATACACATACATATTTTTTTATATAAATATTAGCAAAATCCTAACAAAAACTACATTAAAAACAACGTGTTCTGTTCCACTATAACATCTCAGTTATTTGAAAAAAGAGAAATCTGAAATTTAGAACGGTTAATTAATACAAAGAAATGTATTAAACAAATATACTACTAGTAGCGTAGTAGCATTAGATCGGCTTTGATTTTTTCGGAAATGAACTTTTTTTAATAAAATAAAGTATGTCTTTTAGGTGCGTTTAACATATTATTTTTTATAAGCAGTGTACTTGTTATGAGTATAAATAACATAAAGAATAAGAATGGAACAACGGACCGGTTACTTTAGAGGGTATTTATTACGTATAAAATACATTACAAATGACTGGATGCATAAGAGTATGAATAAGAATTTTACAACTGTGTGATTTCCGGATGATGAATATGAATACAGTTTGATCGAGTTGACTATGATGAGTTTTGGAATGAATGATGAATGTGAAAATAACCGTTTGATCTGAGTGACCATGTTGAGTCTTTATGTTGAATATAAGTGGTTCGTCGAGGCTATGACGAGTAATGAAAATGAATGTTCGACGGGTGTAATTGGAAATTTCTAAAAATTTGTATTTGAAACCGAACATTTTGAAAATGTTGCGCGATGAACATAACCACGTTATATTTTTAGAATAAGCACGTCGAGATCTACATCCTTGAATTTTTTGAGAATTTTTAGACAAATTTCTTAAAAGTGAAATTTTTCCAATACTCCCCTCTTCTTCAAATTTCGACCCATTTTTTCACCATTTTCGAAACTTATTACCAGACCGAAATACATACAAAACCATAAATCACGAATTCCTAATTTTTTCGAGAATTTTTAAACAAACGTTTCAAGGTTAAATTTTTCCAATACTCCTCCCTCTTCAAATTTCGGCCCATTTTTGACCATTTTCGAAACCTAACTAAATACATTTTCTTGTAGATTTCAAGCTCTAAAACTCACTTCTGACGTGTTTCTTTAATAACTCCAGAATCGGCCGTTGAAATATCGAAATTTTTGAAATTTAAAAAAAATTGACTTTAAAACCGTACATTTTAAAAATAATGCGCGATAAGAATAAACACGCCATATTTTTTACTACATCCCTGAATTTTTCTTTTAGACAACGTCTTAAAAGTTAAATTTTTCTTCAAATTTCGGCCCATTTTTGACCATTTTCGAAAATTAACTAAATACATTTTCTTGTAGCTTTAGAGTTCTCGAACTCACTTCCGGCTTCGTTTCTTTGATAATTCCAACCGTTTTTCCAGAATCGGTCGTTGAAATATCGAAATTCTTGGAATTTTCAAATATTTTTATTTTAATCCCGAATATTTCGAAAATGTTGTCCGATGAACATAAACACACTGCCTGTTTGGATTCAGCACGTCGAAATCTATGTACCTATCCCAGAAATTTTTTTGGATTTTTGAACAATTTTTTCAAAGGTGAAATTTTTCCAATTCATTTTCATTCCCCAAATTTCGACGCTTTTTTAACCATTTTCGAAACTTAACTAAATACACTTTCTTGTGGATTTCGAACTGTAAAAGTCACTTCCGGCTTCGTTTCTTTGATAACTCCAGAATCTATTTGCAACGAATGAATGTATGTATATGAATATGACCGGTTGGTCGGGACGACTGTGGTGAGTCTTAAATGTCTGAAGGGTCAGAGACGAATGAATCAGTGTATACGAATGAATTGGTGCTCCCACGTACAGTAACTACACTACATCAGTATCTAATAAAATTTTATTGGTATTTTAAAGTTAACCATGAAGGTTGGACCCACAAAACCATAAATCACAAATCAAATGCAACCCTGGATGTTTCTAGCCCACTATACACTGGCGGCACGCTCCTTTTGTTGGTGTCATTATCCCCCTGCATTGTCCGACAATCCCTCAAAGTAGCGGTTGTAAAATTTTACTAGGTACTGATAAAGTGTAGTTACTGTAGATGATAAAACGCTACCCAAAATTTGGCTAATCATCCCCATCAGCAATATGATGACGTCATCTCCAAAATTTTCAATAGTAAATCTTATTTAAATTTTTCAAAATAAGACACTCCTGCACTTGTTGTTCAGTTTTCACCTTAGACATACAGTTTTTTTTTTGGAAAAAATGTTAAAATTATATAACATTTTGCAGTTTAATTTTGAAATTGCAAAACCAAATGCTCTGAAATCTTGTAAACGTTTTAGTACATCATCCCAAAATTTTGCGGAATAAATCCTAAAATATGCAAAATATTGTGAGTCAGTACTTGTGATTTATCAATGCGTTATGTTTTTTGGAGTTATCTATAGAGGGTGAATTAACTAAACTCTAACTACATAACACTTATTCAAATTGATCGTTGCTAAAATGGTGATGATGTCATCACAAAATTTTGTTGAGGGAAAACTCACTTGAAACAAACTCATAGCATTGCTTCTTTACCTGTAGTTTAACAGTCCACTCATATTTTCATTTTGATTTACAGAGTGTATCATAAAAATAAATTGAATTCGCAGAATTAACTTTTATAATTTGTATTTTATAAGCTGTATTTGTTTGTCTGGACTTCAGGGGGGGAGGGAAGTTCTATCTAGACAACTTTAAAACAATTTTTGTGATGAATGCATTGATAAACTATAGAGTCGTAACATTGTACACATTTTAAGCAAGATTTATGGAGCAAAATTATGATATGACATCATCAAGTTTTTGGAGGGCATAAAAATCTAAATTTTGATTAGCGAGACACCATACTTTTGATAATCTTGAAACGTTTCCAAAATTTCATTGCATTTGTCTATAAAATTTATATAGCATTTACTATGAAAAATTTTGAGGTGACGTCATCAAATTATTGGTGGGAATAATCACATAAATTTTGGTTGACGTTTTGTCATCTACACGATATTCCTAAAATATAAAGTTTGACAAAAATTAGTTCAGTAGTTTCGCAGATTATCTATCTAACAAAATCACCGACACACCACAAGCAGACAGACAGACGGAAACGGAAGATTTATTTTTCGTACTTTATATACACTGACCGGCAAAAAAAAACGGCCACCCTGAAAAATTTCGAAAAACCACTTTAAAAATTATTAATTTAACTAGTGATCGTTATTTTATAAAAGAACCATCCGCATTGACATACATGTTGTACAAATGAGCAAAAAAGAAGGCATATAAACGCAGAATTAAAGTTAACTTAACAAAATAACAGAAACAGATTAAGTTCTTAATTAAAACAATAAAGGCGACTGTTGTTGTAAAGAGTGTTTTTCATCACTTGATAATAAGTTTGGCAATTAATAAACGTTTTCACACGAAAACAATGCCGTTAACTCTTACAGATGTCTTTCAAATTGTCGTTCTGTTGCTGTTATTTTGTTAAATTAAATTTAATTGTGCGTTCATTTGTCTTTTTTTGCTAATTTATACATCATGTGTCAATAGTGAATGGTTCTTTAATAAAATAACGATCACTAGTTAAATTAATAATTTTTAAAGTTTAGTTTTGCGAAATTTTTCAGGGTGGCCGGTTTTTTTGCCGGTCAATATATTACCATACTTCTATACTTCCCTAGCCAACACCCGGGAAGTAAAAAGTTGATGTCATTTAAAGAAAAACTTAGATATAATTTAAAAATATATAGCCATTTTACGGACTTTAATGACTCTAATTTCAAAATACTGTCTTTCCAAAAATCTGAAATCTTAAACTGTAACAGAGATAAATAGAGATGCTGCCATTTAATTTTTTTTAAGGATTAGACCCTATTTAATTACAAACCATTGAAAAAAGAAAAACATGTTCTATTTAACGCAATTGAAAAACATAGTATAAATTAGTTGAAAAGAATTTTAAATCAGACGCTTGTTTCCTTTCAAGATTTTTTTCTGATATTGCATCTTTATTTTAAACACATATGTTCGTTTCTTATTTATTCCACTATATTATGCTGATAACAGATTACAAAATTATTTTAAAAAATATCTTTAATTAATCTTGTCCCCAGCTTCAAACGAATCTTCCGTACTGTCTCTGGCTCATTACCGCTACAAAAGGTTTGACAACGGTATTTACTTTTTATCATGTATAAATTTCACTCGACTTGCCAGCATGCGCTTTAATTAAAAAATGTGTCTGTCGTAAGATTTATGGTTGTGAAATATTGAAGGTACTGTGTGGTATTTATTAATCTTTTAAATATTTGACGTTAATTTTTCGTGCCAATTTCTTGAATCTCAACGTAGCATTTCTAGCACTATCTACGGGCCAATAGCGGAACTAAACAAACTTTATCATTAAGTAAACTCTAGAATAGAGAAAGAACTCAGCTGATCTTTCACCATTCCAAAAAATGGCGAGCTTTTGCAAGATCGTGCGAAATTCGTTGAACAAAAAGAAAATTAATTTTAATAGATTCTATCATAATGTAAATACGCAGTCTAAGACGAGAAATTATACTTTTTCAGTTGTTTGTGCCGTCAGTGGAACTGTTGCTTTATATGCAGTCTACAAATCTGGACACTCCCAAAGCGTGCATGCTTCTCAGATAAAAGTAAGTATTTTCTAAAAATATATAATCATTATTAACACATCTCCACAATCCTGTTCGTTCTGCATAAGACATTTTTGTGCACACCATGTTTTCCCGCCATTTTTAAATTTTGTTTGACTGGCCTCCATTAATTGTCTATCGAATGTCGAACCTGAACCACAAACTATTACGATTACCAGCATACCAGCCCGGGGAGCCGGCCAGAATTAAACCACATTTAAGAATCTTGTCGCGTGCGTTGTATACCATAGATTTTCACCGAAAATCAACGTTTATTAATTCATTTATATTTTTTACATTTCTAGTGATCACTAAGTCTAATTTAATGTTTTTTTTAACTAAGTGTGGTATTATACATATGAAAACTAAAATCTCTTTATTGTCATAACCTCATAATAAAAGATGTCATTATAAGAAATCATACGTCCCGACTCCTGAAGTGGTGGGTGTCTGATAAGAGTTGTGCTTTAAAGGCAGACACTTGGAGAGGTAAATAGGTATAGCGATACGGTTATTGTAACAAATATACGATTTTATGGTTTCTCCGATGTTCCATGAAATATAAATATGCGGGTTTCCTGCTTCTACTTCCATCTATCTCGACTGTCACGACTTTGGGTTATAGTTATTATTGTTTCACTACTCTGGAAACTGAAGTTTTGGAAATGCGAGGAAAGTGTTGGAAGCCACCAGAAGGGCGACGCTCAGTGGCGGTGTAAAGGAGGGGCGGTCCGCCCCGAGTACCAAGCCCCAAAGGGTGACAACAACAACTCACTCGCACAGCTAGAGAATACTTACAGAAGAACCACTCTGCAAAAGCATACAAAAAAAATCGGGACGGTAGACAGACAGACGGACGGAAACGGGAGACCTTATTTCTTCGTACTCCAGGGGTCATGAAAAGTCGAGAAAATGTAAAAGCAGAGAGTCGGCCGACGGACTCGGTCACAATACTTCTTTCGCTTACGCTTGGGAAGTAAAAATAATGTCTTGATCGATTTTACCAAGAACTAGACCATCGTGAAAGAGCAATGAATGATAACATTTAGTGTTGTTCAACTAAAGGTCGATTTATAAGTTTGTCGCTGACGTTGTTATTCACCGTTGTAATATAAGTAAGTACGCAGCGAAGGTATGCGTCGTTTATATTATCCGTTGACGTTGCCATTTAAAGTTGACACGCCGTTGGGGTGACGTTCGAGATGACCAACTTTTAACTTTCGCCGTTACGTTGCCGTTGACGTTGGGTTTTCAACCAATCAAATTGCGGTAGTGTGTAGTGCTGCCAACTTGAAAGAAAATTGTAGGAAGTAGGGGGGACTTTTTTTGGTTGACAGCACTAACTCCACGAAATTCAAATTTTGATAGAGATAATGAGGTCCACTAATATTAAGCCATTTAATCACCTGTTCACCGAAACCCTCATATTTTAAATAGCGCCCATCATTTTCTGCACTCTAGCTTTCTGTCAGTAATTATGCATTGTTAAAGATAGTCCTCGACGTTTAAATCTACAAAATTTATTGCTATTCATCTCAAAAACAGATTAGGTATTATAACTACAACTACTTACATTTTCCTTTTTTTTTCTTAATATGTGTAGTCTTCTTTTCAGAATAGGAAACTTAAAATATGTTTAAAATGCTAAATTTGTATAGGAAAATGTCGATTTTGCAATTACGCTCCGCCCCTCGGTCTGACAACGAATGAAAAATTCATCACGGTTGAGATCGAGACGGATGGGTGGGACTTTTCTTTTGTTTTTCTTTTTTAATTCATACATTTAGTTTTCTTTGTATAATGCGATTACTTAAGAACATATTTCACAGTGTACTTTCTCGTAGAAAAATAAGGATTTTACAATTAAGTAGAGATGTACCGACTGTAGGTCTGGCCGACTAACCAACCGACTAGCCGATTGTTCGGCCAATAAAAACCGACTATTCGCCGGCTTTGCTAAAACCGATTTATAAATGCGACAGACAGTGTTTTTTTTTTCTATTTCTCTGACTACCTTAAAAATTTGTTTTATTTTAATAAAAGGAATAACTAAAGTTCCTTTGTTTTCCAAAAAATGTGTTAAATTTGTTTGGATAATTTTAACATTTAATTTTTTTTAGTAACTCAGTACAAAAATAAAGAATAACACAATTTAGGGCCAGTTTATACAATATTTTAACTGAGATTAAGTTGATCGCGCCTTTAACAAGGCCATTAGCGACGTCTGATTGGCGTAGAGTCGGTCACATGGTACTTTAACGCGGGGTTAAAAATTAAATCGCAATTAAATATTTAATTGAGGTTCTGTAAACCGGGTTTAATTGTTTTATATACTATTTTAATTTTAATAAAAAAAAGCCGACCGATCGGCTGTTTAGCCGACCAGTCGCCGACTACAGCCGACGATGAAAAACGGCCGAATAGTCGGCTTATCCGACCGGTCGGCTACTAGTCGGTACATCCCTACAATTAAGCTTCGCCCCTCGGCTTACGACGAATAAAAAAAAAATCATCAGAATTGAGATAGGGCGGGTGGGCGGAGTTTATGTTTTGTCTTCTTTTTTTTTTCTTAATATACATAGCCATCTTTTCATGACAAGAAACTTAAAACATGGTTAAAATGGTTTTTCCAAGAAAATATGGGGCGGAGCCTAATTGCAAAATCGATATTTCCTTGTACAAATTTTCCATTTTAAACATGTTTTAAGTGTCATGTTGTGAAAAGAAGTCTACACATATTAAAACAAAAAGGCAAAATATAAGCCCAAAGGGATGGAGGTTAACTGCAAAATACTTATTTCTTTACAAGAAATGAAAAACATGTTTTTGAGTATCGTGTTGTTCAAACAATACTATGCATATTAAGAAAAAAAGGCAAAAAAATACACCACGCCCGCCCACCCCATCTCAATTGTGATGATTTTTTTAACTCTTTTAGAAACTTGAACCACGTTTAAAATGATAAATTTTTGTAAGGAAATATGTATTTTGCAATTAGACTCCGCCCCTAGGTCTGCCAACCTATGAAACTTCATTACTCAGGGTAGGTATGGGTGGGGCTTAATCTTTGGTTTAATTTTTTATTAATATACATTTAATATTTATATTATTACATATATTTAGTCTTTGAATAACATGATACTGAAAAAAATGTCTTACATGGTAATTTCTCGTTGAGAAATAATAAGAATTTTGCATGTAAATTCCGCTCCTTTGGCTCTCGACGATTAAAAAAAATCATTACAATTGGGATAGGGTGGATGGGCGGTGCTTATATTTTACGTTTTTTCTTAATATACCTACTCGTATTTTCAGAACAAGAAACTTAAAACATGTTTGAAATGGTAAATTCTTGTAGACAAATGTGGATCTTGCAATTAAGCTTCGCCCCACGATCTGACAACGAATGAAAAATTTATGAGAATTGAGATCAGGGCAGGTATCTTTGGCTTTATTTTTTTCTAAATGTACATAGTATTCTTTGAACACGATACTCAAAAACATGTTTTTATTTTCTCGTAGAGAACTAAGGATTTTGCAGTTGCGCTTTTTGGGCCGACATTTTAATATTCTAACATTTTTGTTAAAATAGGTAAGTAGGTACGTGATCTTTATCCTGTTTAATAAGAAATTAAAAATAATCATTAAATATTTTTAATTCATAGGCATTTGATAGGTAAGAAAGTAAAAACTATATCGTTATTATTAATGTTCCGTTCTAAATGTCACGTTTACAAGTCTAGTAATTCAAAACCATACAGAAAAGTAATTGGTTATGTAACTGGTTTTTAGGCTAGAAAATCATTTTTCCTTGTTGGAGAGAAAGTCCTGCAGATTTGATAAAAACCAAAGTGCTACTTCACCTACTCTTCTAGTAAGAATAACGTTGGTACCGTAATATTTCATAACGTTATTCGGTAAAGGGGAATTTAAAATAACGGCGCTTTTGGCTTTTTTATTAAAAAAATGGTGGACATAAACACAAGGCCAACGATCGAATACAAAAAAGTGATAAAGTGAGCCCAAAAAATTAATTTTGACATTTCAATACGAAAAATTGACACTTCATGGCGTGATTTATAATGGTCGCCTAAAAATGTTATTTAACAAGAATTTTTCTCTTTTCTCGAAGCACCGTCCGACTGTCCAGTTTCTTAAACATAGCCATTAAACTATTCCAGTTTATATTTTATTATTCATTTATAAGTTTACTTCGACAGAACTTCCGTCGCTTCTTTGAAAATTTATAAAATTAGATGTTGCTATGTTTGTTTTGTGAAAACCTCTATACAGTAAAAACCGGTGGCATAAATAACAACCTCGCAACCCCTGCACCGTGGGGGCGCAAATTGCACAAGTACGAACAAGATAAAATATATTTATAGCACATAACCATCGGCCTCCCAGCAGTAATAACAAGCTTTCTTCCGATGTATAAACAAGCACTTGAAATTGCTTGTTTATACGTCGGAAGAATGTCACGTGGAAATTTGTTTTGATTTGAATGAGTTTGTCGTCGCCACAAAACGGGACTAAAATTATTGATTCAGTCAGTCGAACAGAATGTTCTGAATATTATTATTATAAATCTTATTAAACAAAGACGGACGTATTCTCACCTTTTCGAGAAATTGGGGTGACTCGTTCTTAATTTGATCAATAAAAAATTTGTTTTGACGTCATAAAATGCAAGAGGAAAGGAGAAAAAAAAGAAAAAAGCGAAAGGTCAAGTTTGGCATCGAACCCGGGACCTCCGCGTTAACTCGTATCAATTCCAACATGATCGGGATGTCTCACGCTGATGGTAAACTGTAATTATACTGTGCATTATGTTCTTGCGAAAATTTGGACGATTAGGGAAAATATTTAAAGCGGATTCGTACACCACACGTATAGGAGATCTTGTTGTGCAACAGTTAAATCAAATAAACATAGAATTCTTTGAAATGACGTGATCAAATTGTTGGTGTGGATGGTTAGCAAAGTTTTGGTTAGCATTCAACCGTCTACATGATATTTCTAATGCACACACAAAATTTGACACCAATCGGTCCAGCATTTTCGGAGATTACACGTGCGTAATAAAAATGGATACAGGCACCAGACAGACAGACGGGAACGGGAGACTAGTTTTTCGTATTGTAGGGCGTAGGTTACTTTACAGAGGTATCACAAAACCAAACCATCGCAAAAAGTTCTGTCGAAATAACCTTCGACCAATTTTTTAAACGAGTATTTCTTGAAATTAGTTTGATGAGCATAAATTACCTACTTCGATGATAAATGGTTTTGTAGTTGTCACTGTAATCCCTACTTATTTATATGGTGTTCACTTAATTTTTCTTTCGGAAGTTAAATGGATTGAGATAACATTTTTTATTTTTGATGAATATCTTGGTTATTATTTCTTATTTTTTGTAATAGTTTCCGCGGGAGTATAGCAGATTTGAAGAGTTAATTAGAGCAATTAGTCAAAGGTAACGAAATCCGAAGACAAATCGTTCAGCTGTTACGTTAGAATGCGCAAAGCGTGAATAATATGTCTGTAGGGCCATATGCATGAAACATCTGTTTAAGTATTTATGCCGTTCTCGAAACATTCCATTTGTCATTTGAATATTATAGATAAACTTTACACCTTTTAATCGTACTTTGGTAAGCTTCTTATCTTCGTTAACATCTAAAGCAGCGGCACGCGATAAATCTCCCATCATACAGTCATAAAATATAAAAGTGAACTTTATGATGAAGTTATCCTATGTGTTGAAGAGAAAAGAGATCGATAAAGTCTAACATCTTGTTCCAAACTAATCAAACGGATAGCTTGTTCTTAGTTGAGCTTCAGGTAATTTTAATTTGATGTTACATACCATATAAACGTCCGCTGCGAATCCATCACGAGAGATATCTGGCGCATAATGGAAACTCGCCTGGTATAAATAAGCACGGATGATAGTGTCATAGTAAAGTAGAACCGTGATGTCATTGTCTGATAGGGAGTTAATAAATAACCTTATATTATTGGCTGCTTGTGTGGTCAGGTTCACTGACTGGGGTAGTTGCTGGTTCTTTCAGCCTTAGCCCTCTAGCTCGTTAGAGGACATAAACTTGCGTCCGATTAGATGGATCTCACTGTTCACCCACATCGTCGCGCTCGTCTCACTTTGGTCCACCTAATCAAGGTGCTATCCTTAATTTTCACTTGATTAAAGTTCTTTATGGCCGCGTTTTACATAATGTGCTCAAATCAACGCACTCACCTGAAGACTGTTATTATATATATATATTTTTTTTTCAACTTCAACTCTAGGAGGAAGAATCTAAAGTAGTCAAATTAACGTCAAGAGAAAAACGCTTCATACGATTTGCGTCTGTTGAATATGATGGTCAGCTTTATATGACCCCTCAAGATTTCCTTGAATCAGTTGTGGAAGCCGAACCAAGACGTAAGTACTTTTTTATTTATTTATTTTTTTTTTCAATGAATCGCTTTAGCTCGTCTTAAAAGAAAAGTTTTAACAACAAAAGAACTAGAGAAGATACGAGATTCAACTCCCCCGCTTAGTCAAGGATCGGCTCGACTTTTCCGCACATTGAGAGATAAAGGTAAAATATGCTTGACAAAAATTTTTTATCAAACTACATGATTATTTTTTTTAGGAATTATTTCATACACAGAGTACCTTTTCCTTTTATCAATATTAACAAGTAAGTACGATATAACACATCACGGTGTACAAAATTCTTGACTTAAAACAATCGAAAAACAGACCATTGCTTTAAGTTAGGCATTTTTAACACATGCTTGCTATCTTCACTTGGTTATTCAACATAACTATTTACTTCTAGAGCCGCAATCAGGCTTCCGCATAGCGTTCAATATGTTTGACACAGACGGTAACGAAAGAGTTGATAAAAACGAATTTCTTGTGGTAAGTATCTGTTGTATTTATATATATTTTTTTTATTTAGTTGTAAGCCAGAATAAGAATATTGCGTTATTGTGACAGATTCGTAAACTATTGGCAGGCAAAAAAACTGAAGATGCACTACCTGTAAGTCACAAATCGCTTGAAAGCTTTAAAGCTTGACAAAACTAATCATTGTAAATAGTAAATACTGTAAAAAGTACCATCCTGGTCCTCGGACGAAAAAAAAATTGGTTTGACTTTTGTTTAATTTGTTGTCAAATTCATTTTTTCATTCATCTGAACGACCATTTTGTGGCCATCTCTAATAGCTTCGCGCTTCCAATAACCGTGTCTAATAATTTGTGAAATGTCCGTTTTGTTCAATAACCTTGTCATGTGTGAATTTGTAAAGTTTTTTTGTCAACATTCTTTTATTAAAAGATGGAGAAAATATTCAGTCATGCTTGGAAGGGGAAAAGAGGAATATCAAACGAAATGAACGATAAAATGATTCTTCCCATTCATGAACATTATGTTAACGATGAACAAGGTCTACAAAGAAAACATGTGGTGGATACAACGTTAATTGTACACTTTTTTGGACCCAAAGGAAACCACGATTTAAATTTCGAAAACTTCAAGCAATTCATGCTTCATCTTCAAACAGAAGTGTTAGAATTAGAATTCAACGAATTTTCCAAAGGTTTACCCACAATTTCTGAGGTCGATTTTGCAAAAATTATGCTGAGATATACTTATCTAGATACTGACGAATATGATATGTATTTAGATCGATTGCTTGATCGAATTAAAGAAACCAAAGGCATTACGTTTGAAGAATTCAACGTGTTTTGTCAGTTTTTAAACAACTTGGAAGATTTCACTATTGCTATGCGGATGTACACATTAGCTGATCACCCCATATCAAAAGGTCTGTTATTTTAATAGTTATAGATACATGTAGATGAACAAATTTCGCAGATGAATTTCACAGAGCTGTTAAAATATGCACTGGAACTAGTCTAAGCCCTCATCTAGTCCACACAGTCTTCGCAATTTTTGATGTAGACGGCGACGGACTTTTAAGTTATCGCGAATTCATCGCTATTATGAAAGATCGACTTCATCGAGGCTTCAAGGTAAAAAATAAAATTTATTAAATTCAAAAATTGTTGTTTTTTTTTCAGTCATACGCTAAAAACGAAGGATGGGAAGCCTTCAAGACGTGCATCAAACAAGAGATGAAAAATCCCACATAAATACTTATTAGTCTATGGTATTTTATTTGACAATGGGACAGTTGCCATATTTATAAGGAAACGCTTGGTTTTAATTTTATACTAGTCAGATTTATAAGTTGTTTCCACATTTGACTGTAATTTTGTAAATTGTAGCATCATCGTTGTAGGATTTTTTGTGCCAAGTCTTAAAATTATTGAATTGAAAATATTCTCAGGATAAATACGTTTTTTTTAATAATAACTCACAACATTAGTATGATCTTTTGTATATCCATGTAAAATTTATAAGCCTAAATGTTATATTACAATTCTTGGATTGTTAATAATTATCTAGTCAGTAATAAATTTGTTTGGTGATTTCAATAATTACAACACACAATTATTTTAACTTTTTATCAGGCACATGTAGGCGTTGACAACTTAATAATTGACCGTTTGATGATTTTTCACTTTATGATTGATTGAAGGTGGGAAGTCCAGGTGAATATCCAAAACATCTAAAGCTATAATATCTATGTAACCCCCAACAATTTCACAAAGTGATGGAGTAGTTCTGCCAAGATCACCATGAACAAACTCTTTGATATATGTTCCAGCTTGTGTAATCATATCCAATTCAAGCAAGTTCTTTTTACCTTTAACAAAACAAAAATTATATACATTAAACTAGAAATACCAAAAAGGTACCTACCATTTATAACTTTAGCTTTTAAACTGTAAATCTGTCGTTCTCTAATATCAGAAGATCTTCTATGATATACTCGAAGAGGCGTCTTTTGTTGCAATGTCACTGCGGAAATGTTATTAATTTTATCTATATACGCTGTTAAATTTTCAGGTTTATCAACAATACACAAAGCCCTGTATGTCTTTTTTTTAAACTGTTCTCCTTCTTTAATATTACTGAGGTATCTCCTATCAATAAATTGTAAATCCCTAACTTCCACTACCTTTGTATGTTTTACTGCCTGCTCTATTTGACGGAATTTCTCAAAAGACACTTTGGTTCTTTTTGGGTCACAAATTTTAATAAAAAAGGGACGCCCTCTACCAAGAGTTCGCACATCAAAATCTTCGCGGCCACTTGAGGAAAAAACCATAGCACTACAACTACAATTTTGTTACTGTGGGTGTGGTCAGTTTTAAAACTTACCTGAAACTGTTTTCTATATGATCAAATATTTTTTCTTGAACAGAGCTTATTTCAACTTGAATATCATCACCTGACCAAGGAGTTTGGAACATATTTCTGGCATATTTACAGTATCTCCCTGCTATAAATACATGATCATGTTTGTAAAATACCTGTTCCACATCTAAAGCTTTTGTAGGAGTTGCAGGAGGTATAGAGACTTTCTGTTTAAATAATTCAGAATTGATTGTTTGTAATGAAGAGGTAACATTTTTACAGCTGAGTGGGTCATGCTGGATGCTATGTTTCCTAGATTTGTCTTCAAGCAGAAGCATAACTAAGGACTCCTGCAAGTTTGTACAATACAGGCTTGATTTAATTATTGTATTATATTCACAAGTACCTCTTTATCTAATACATAGCTTGTATTAAACTGGATCTGTAGATACGAATTCTTATCATATTTTTTCTCCAGCCTTTGAGCTAACTTATTTTGAATGGACAATGACCAAGCTCTATTTAACGCAATAACGTTGCGATCTGAAAAGTTGTAAGATCATTCCTAATATTTAATTACCTATAAATATATACCCTTAAAGAATTGTGGAAATTTTTCCTTCACACAAATTTCCATACTGTGCTCCCTTATTAAAACAGCTTTAGGAAGACTTACATAATTCACGAAAGTATCAGAATCATATTCCAAAACTTTCTCTAGTTCAGGATTTAAAATCATTGTTTGGAGGGTGGTATCTTGCAGTAAATCCAAACAAATGATACAAGGATTTGGCTTTGATTTTTTAAAAACATTTTCATCATTACTGTTTTGACCCAAATCCTTTCTTGTCAGCTGAAATAACAAAATGCTGAATTAAATCTCATTACGAAAAGTATGTGTTGCTTACTTTCTTAACATCATCAGTTGGATTATCGTAGTTCGTATTGCTGTCGCCCACAAAACGTAACGCGCACCGTTTACAGCAACCCAGCTCTATTAAAAAATTAAATACAATACCTTTAGTATCCTGCGAGTCTGTTTCAGTCATTTCTCTAATCTAATGTAGAATGTAAATATCACAAATTCAACAGAAAAGAGAACACATTGACTTGCGAAAGAAACAAGGTTATGTATGGTTGGTTATGTTATAATTATGAACCTTGCGATTGGGAATCCACGGTAGCACCACAGAACAGTGAATTTACCACTAATTCGACAAGGGTTGATTCAAACAAGCGTTTTTTGCCGATTTAAATACAGTAAGCACTTGAACAGCTGTATCGCCACATAAAACAAGTACAACTTATACAACCAATCAAACACGTTTTCAGATTGCAAATAAAAAAAAACTGAGGAAAAAAACGTGGAGAAACTCCAATATCAAATGTAAACAAAAAATATGGAAAGTTAGTAAGAGAGAATTTCCTCGCTCGTGAAACACAATCAAGCGAACTCAGATTTTGATTTTTTTTTATAAGAAACCCCAAATCACAGCCCAAAGTAGATATCGATAATTAAACCACAGGTAAAAACCAAGTGAGAAGGGCAAAAAATTAGATTCAGAATTTTTTAAATCCATTTCAATTCATTTTGTCATACAAAAGAAAATACTTACGGAATTATAACAAAAATAAGTATGTATTAAATTCACACTTGTCATGTGTTTTGACATTTGATCGTAGCCTCCTGGGCAACTGATACGTACCTAATTTAATATACTTTTTACTTGTAGAGGTAGTTAGTTATTTAGAGAGAACTTTCCACGTCTCTGAAGCACGGTGCAACATATCCAGCTTTACGAAAAATTATATGATTTGATTTTGCGTATTTTATTTTTTATGATAACTCCTATAAGTTAAAACTTTAAAACATAGATTTATATATGTAATGTTAAACTACCTACAGTTAAAAAAGTGTGTCATGTGTATGTTTCACTGCGGATATTTCATTACAAAATTTTGTGATGACGTCATCAACATTTTTGCAGAGACACGTATATTAATTTAGATAGGTGCAGGTAATAATAATAACGGTATTTCGGGAAAATGAAGTGAGCCGTTTTTGATTTAATCAATAAAAAAATGACTAATCACAAGTATAGACTTATGAGGGGCAATTCTGAATCAAAGTTGTTAAATTTAAAGGATGTTAAATTGCAAATTTCCATAGTAACGAGTTAAATCCGTAAATCTGATTGGCTGTTTATTTTTTAACAACCTTTAAATTTTAACGGGTTTGATTCAGAATTGGGCCTATAATATTTTACAAATTTTAAATGGTATTTATTAGGAAAACTTTTAGATGACGTCTTCAAATTTTTAGAGAGGGATAAACGGATACATTTTATTAACGATATGATAATCTTAAAACGTTTGCAACATTTCAGAACATTCAGTTTTGTGGTTTCCAAGTTAAATTTTAAAATGTTATACAATTTAGATTTTTGTTTTCTAAAAATCTGGTTGTCTAGAGCAAAAAATCAAGACGTTGGACACGTGTAGGAGTATGTGGTTTTATAAAATTTAAATAAGATTTATTATGTACAAATTTACGGTGACGTTATCACATTGTTGATGGGGATGATTACACAAAGTTTGATTAGAGTTTTACCGTCTACCAGAGACATGATGTCAGTGTATCTGCCATCTACACAATATTCATAACACACATATAAAAATTTGAGAACAATCGGTCCAGTAGTTTCGGAGATTATCTGTATATTAAAAATAGACACAGACGGACGGAATCCGGAGATCTATTTTTTTCGTACTCTAGAGGTCATGATCTGAAACGTCGAGAAAACATTAAAGTAGTCACCCAATTAAGTAAAGAAGTAAAAATATGAGTACATACATACGTATATAGATAAACCACAAGCAAAGAATATTAGCTCCACAAGTGTGGTTTGTTAAAAAAAACGTCGAGAAACAATGAAATTAGCCATTTGTCAAACTTCTAGTTTAGGTTCTGTATGTAACATTTCACCCAGTCAAGCAATTTAATGATACAAAATTAAGCATAAGGATACGGAAAAACAACTTATTGTCTGATTTTGTGCAGTCGTTACATCAATGGAATGAATAAGAAGCTCTGTAAAATTGAAACTAAACCGATCAGCAAGATGATGAAATAAATGAAAATAACAACACGAATTATAAATGTTGGGTACTGCTTATTAAAATCAGTGTAATATCTATGCGCTTTTGATTTATTAAACAATGTTATTTTGTACTGATTTTACGTCTTATTAGGAGATCTTAGAAAAAAGATTTTTAATATTTAAATTTAGGGACTTTTAAAGTCTGTAGAACATCAACTGCCAAGATTGCCAATCTCACCATGTGTCACCAACACCATATCACCATATTGTTCTGTTTGACATTTGCCATGTTTCATTTGTGGAAGTGATAAACGTCAAGTCTCAGAAAAGTAAATAATCATTTTGTATTTAATTAACATGAATCGGAGTGAAGGTCTGGTGCAAAGAAGAAACATAATTCGTGATGCAGGTGATGGTGTTAATAAAGAATCACAAAATAATGAAAAAAAACAAGATCACGACGAAGACATCGACGAAGGCGATTCCAAAGAAACAAGATTAACATTAATGGAAGAAGTATTACTATTAGGATTAAAAGATAAAGAAGTAATATTCTATAATTCGTCGCTTCTACTTAAATAAATGCGGCTTTTTAAGGGGTATACCTCTTTTTGGAACGATTGTATTTCAAGTGGACTACGAGGGTGTATTCTTATTGAACTGGGACTCAGGGGCCGTGTCGAATTAGAAAAAGCCGGAATGCGACGAAAAGCGCTATTAACTAGAAAACTTATTCTTAAGAATGATACTCCCACTGGAGATGTGCTGCTGGATGAAGCTTTAAAACATCTGAAGGAGACTGATCCACCTGAAACAGTGCAAAGCTGGATTGAATATCTCAGTGGTAGTTATCAATAAACTGAAAATAGAGTTTGAAAATGATAATCACACAACACAAACTGCAGTGTACAAATCATCAGTTTTAAAGTTAAACATTGATAATTGTTCAGAGAATTGAAATCTATTCCTACGTTATCTAATTCACTGATTTTTAATTAGTTGGTTTTGAGTACTCTTACTTTTGTATTTTTAGTTAAATGAATGAAATATTAGAAGTTTCCATCCTGTTCGCCAACATGAAACTATTATGGTTTTAATTATAACCAAATGAAATTTGTTCTTAACATAACTTGATGCATTTGTATTCCACATAAAAACAAAAAATAAAATATCCAATGTAGTAATGTTACAACACTTTCACTGTATAATTTTGTAAATTAACATGCTAGAAGTTAAGATAATTTTTTTTGTAGGTGAAACTTGGAACCCTTTGAAACTACGATACCAGTTGAAAAACGTGAGAGAGCGTTTAGCCAAAAACTTGGTTGAAAAGGGCGTTCTAACTACTGAAAAACAAAATTTTCTGCTTTTTGATATGACAACTCATCCTCTCACTGACAATGTCACTAAAAGTCGACTAATAAAAAAGGTAAATCTCATCAAATATAAAAGCCTTAGTTACACCTCATTTATTTTTATTCTTTACAATTGAACTGATGATTGCAAAAACATCACAATTGTGGTATGACCTTAGTATCATCGATCGCCAAAGTAGAAAAACTATAGTAAAATTTATGAAAATAAATTGGGTGTAATTTATTGATCCTCTGTTTTTCATATTTATCGCATTTTGTGTGGTTTCCAGATTCAAGATGCAGTACTTACGAAGTGGGTAAATGACCCACAACGTATAGACAAACGTATGCTAGCCCTCATTTTTCTTGCCCACGCGAGCGATGTTCTAGAGAACGCTTTTGCCCCATTAAATGACGACGATTACGAATTGGCAATAAAAAGAGTTAGAGAATTGCTAGATCTAGATTTTGAACAAGAGTCAGTAAAACCAAACACCTCGGAAGTTTTGTGGGCTGTTTTTGCAGCTTTTACAAAATAGAAATCTGTTTTTGCTACTAACGTTTAATCATAAATAAATTACGTTGAATTATTGAAATTTATCAGTGATGTTAGTTTGTACAATGAAGTTTTGTATGAAATAGTTCACTAACGTGAAATTTAATTGTTTGTTCCATGATGTTAGATATAGAATTTTAATATTTAATTGGAACATTTCAGTATGAAACAGGGTGTTCAGCACTTTCTCTTTCTTTTTTATTTTGGCGTTTAGGTGACGTCTGGACATCTCTAAAGTACTAGCAAGTTTTATTTGTATATATCTCGATAAGTGTATTATTCATGTATATCAAATGATACATAATTATAGCGATTATTTTATAATTAATCTTATTAAAGTTAGTCTTCATTTAAATTAAATATTCCCAATTTGTTTATATAATAAAGTTATATCGATATTTATAAAAACGTTTTTTATTCATTTAACAAAAGCACTACATCAAAATATAAATCTGTTTTGTTCAAAACTCGCCTCAGTTACAATAAAAAAAAGTAGATGATTTTTGTTATCACTGCAAGCTATTGACTTTTATTGCAATATTTGTCAATTCACCCCTACCACTTGTAACATTTTATTTTTTAATTGACTAACCCAGGATAGAAAGCCAGTCACATCATAATTTTAATATTTCAAGACGGTTTTCTAAAAAGTCGGGTTTTTGACGTTTCAAGTACCTATTTTTTTTAAGAAATGGTTTTTGTATACCACATTGTCAAATATTCTCTATATTAATGTAACTGAAACAGTCGTGTCTACACCTGGTTTGCACAGAAAAATACAATTCTTCGAGTACCTATGTATAGTAAAATATATCTTCTAAGGTTAGACAACGTCAGTAAAATCGGCTCTTATGTGCATGAGTCAACAACAACTTATTCCATTCAGAAGAAACCGCAATGGTTGTGAACAACATTGCGTTTGCCGCTTGCTACCTGCCATGGGACGCAGGCACGTACTTGGAAATTTTAATATAAAAAGAAACTGTATACTCAATTAATTGTACACTTCTGTGCAAACCAGATGGAGATCCGACCGTTCGAGTTTCAACAAATTTATTACAATAAAGAAAAATATTTATCTTGTGGTATGCTTAAACTGACCATTTTTTTTTATGTCAAAACGGGACGTCCATACATACTACTAATAAAATAAATCTAATATAGAATATAGATATACCATACATACATAACATAACATTCCCCAGTGGGAAGGTTAACAATAAAAATAAACAGAACTTTTTAATCTTCTTTCTTTATTTTATGTTCACAAAAATTAAAAATATTTTTAGTATTATAAGTAGTTATGAAAAATAAGAAGCAATCACCAGCTTCATTAAAGTAAAGCACCATTTATGTGACAGTAATTATTAAATTGCAACATAACATTATATTTTTAGTCGTATTTATATTTCTCGGAGGAACAAATTTGCTTTAATATTGATAGTGATGCGCGGTTTTAGAAAACGGGACAATTTTGCGTTCCAGATCATTGTATGGGGACAACGGGACAGGTGGTCCAATAAAGGGACAGTCCCGTTCAAAACGGGACGTCTGGTCACTTTAGGTATGCTTTGTTTTGTTAAAAGTATCGGGTAAAAACATTGACAATCTGAAGCCTTCAATCTTTGAATGCGTGTAAATGATTTATGGGGACGCGTCCGTAAAACACTTCATTATTAGTGGTCAAGAACTACTGAATTGCTGCTGCCACATAAATTTAGAAGATATGTTTTACCATACTTTCTTTTTTTTATTAAAATTTCCAATTACATCTCATGGTATGTAGCACGTATGTACTATGTAAACGCAATGCTCAGTTTGGACCAGAGAATATTAACAACAATGAACAAGAAGCGACACTTGACGTCGGTCGCCTTTAATGTTTTGCTGGTCAATATTTGGAACTTCAGCCATTTTGTTGGGATGCTGTGACGCGGGAATTTTGAAAGTTGGTTGTGTTGAAAAAATGATCGTTGACATACTGGCATAAACAATTTGTCGACAAAACACACACGCGAATATTTAATAGTTGATTTTATAAATTCCAATGGTACGGTTTTGGTACAAAATCAAACACCAAAAAAACCGTTTATGATGTATCTGTCGGTTGTGTGCACGTGCCAGCAGGCTACAAAACCCTATCGTTTTACTTACCAGTGCTCCAGTACTCCATTATTTAATCTCTTTTTTTTAGATATATTCACCTTTAAATAATTTCAATTCTTCAATTTTTTCTTTTTTCAATTTTTTCTTTTTTTTTTCTTTTTTTTTTCTCGCCTCTTCGTTATTGGGCACTCAGCCTGTTAAGAGGCGTAATCATAATAATAATAATAATAATAATAATAATAATAGGCGTACAACATGCCAGTTATTTTGTTCCCCCACGTACCGTGTGTCTGGGATGGACATAAACAATTTTGGACACTTGGTTTTCATAAGTTTCAGTTCATTTCATCCCCATGACGGATGATATACCAAATTCCTCCACCACTGCTTAGCGATACTTTTGAACCCAAAGACGCGGGTAACTCGAACGGTGTTTAGATTCAGAAGCCGGTACCACAAGTTTCACCGTATTATCCGTCCGTTCGTATTCTACCTTTCTTGGTTTGGTTCCTATTCCTTTCAAGATTTTTAGGAAATTGAAAAAATTATATTTTCCCGCCGTCTCGCGTTAAACAAAATTTCTTAGTTGTACAGGAGTAACCTGATTGTCGGTGGCTCCATTTTCTAATGATTAAAGTAGGTGCTATACCAACCTAACCTCCAAAATCAACCAATGATATAGAATTAAAATGGTACGAAATATGTGACAACAAATGTCTGTATTACAACTCGAAGTATGCTTACAATAAACAAATACAGAACAGTACTATATAGCTTTACTAGACTAAAAACTGATTTTGGCAATGACATATCCTCTAAGAAAAAAGAGGGTGGGTGGGCGGTACTCGTAGCTGCCAAGATAAGACTAATTTTGGCAAATGAGATATCCTCTAAGAGAAGAGAGAGCGGGTGGGCGGGGCTAGTAGCTGCCAAAATAAGACTGATTTTAGCTAATGAGATACCTTCTAAGAAAAGAGAGGGTGGGTGGACGGGGCTAGTACCTGCTAAAATCAGTTTTATCTTAGCAGATACTAGCCCCGCCCACCCACCCTCTCTTTTCTTAGAAAGTATGTCATTTGCCAAAAACAGTTTTATCTTAGCAGCTACTAGCCCCACCCACCCACTCTCTCTTTTCTTACATCTCATTTGCCAAAATCGGGCTTATTTTAGCAGATACTAGCCCCGCCCGCCCACCTTCTTTTTTCTTACTGGGTATGTCATTTGCCAAAATCAGTTTTATCTTAACAGCTACTAGAGAAGATAAGACTGATTTTGGCAAAAACATACCCTCTAAGAAAAGAAAGGGTGGGTGGACGGGGCTAGTACCTGTTCCTGTTAGGATAAGACTGATTTTGACAAATGAGATACCCTCTAAGAACAGAGAGGGCGGGCAGATGACAGAAATAATTTAATTTTACACGTCATTTGCTAAAATCAGTTTTATGTTGAATTAAATTATTATAAGAAAAGATAGTAGAGGCTCCAAAGCAGTTTCAAATTCTTTCCAAACAGGAATACCTAGTCAGTTTTAAATTTACGAAAAAAAAACGGGGTCCCAAAATTAACTCAAAAACAGGTCAGGTCAGAATTTTCCAAAAACAGAACACCAAAGTCCCCCAAAATTGTTTTAAATAATTTACAAAAAAAATCTCCATGGGCTCCCAAAATAATACACCATGGGTACTCAAGAGTCTCCCGATTTAAAAAAAAAAAACACTGCGGCACTCAAAACTTTTTCAAATTCATAAAAAATAAAACTCTGAAAGCTCAAAAGATATTTTCAAGTTCATCCAGCAACAAAACACCAGGGGACTTAAAATTAACTCCGAATATTTTAAAGGTAGGTTTTTGAAAACTTTGACAATTTTTGATAGGTCAAACATTTTTAACTGCTTACTCGATTTTTGTTGATTTGTACCTTCGCTTTATATCAGACAAACATTATTGTCAAATGGAATTTTATCAAATTATTACAAAAACAACACAACCATATCTTTGTAATCATTCTAACTGAAATGGTTATGGGCGAGAGAAATATTAACTAAAAGTGTTATTACCAGTTATTGTGATAATTAATGTGTTATTTAGTTGTTAAACGTAGGAAAAGAACCAATTTTAAGATCATTATAACTCCACCAAAATGTGAGAAGAATTTTTTTTACTATTTTTCCCAAACTCACCAGTTGATAGTTAAGAGCGTAGCGGAAAGTTAATCCGCCATTTTCTAGACACCCGGTATAGAGCATTTTTGCAGCGAACAAAATTTTAATACAAATGAACCATTTAATTTTACACAATGATTGAAATGGCTTTCTTTAGATTTCAGATGTACGTAAACGCAAATAATGTGATCTTTAGAAACGGAAAACATTTTTATGCTATATCTCGTTCCTAGTTCAGTAATTTTTTTGTGTGTAAAATATGCTGTTGGACAATGTGTGTTCGACTGTGTGTTCGACTACATAAAGTTCGTTGCCAGATCCCAGGAAACGAGCTACACTCTGATATAGAAACGTCATTAGAACCAAAGCCGATGACTGATAATAAAAAGACTTCCTCTCCAAAAGAAATCTAAATTAATGGTGTCATAAAGCGATTTGACTCAATAAAATAATAAACAGCAGTTCACACAGTCTTAATAATAATTTATGAAATATTTATTTAATTTTTTTTTTTAGAATCGTTGTTAATAGTAAATAATAACTGTTAATCATTATTTAGGAAGTAGAAGTAGAAATACAGAATGAACATATAATGTTAACAAGTATTTTTTTTCTTGTTCTAACTTGTAATTAGATGATCTAGTGCAAATGAAAAAAAAACAACAGTTATTTTGCAAATTTGCATTCACGGAAAACCACTTAAAATTAAAAGTAAACCAACGAGATTAGCTTTATTTGAGGTCAAAAATACCTTCACTTAATTACTTCTTTGTTCACTGAAAAATGACAGGCTGCCTCATAAATTTTTATATCATGTTTACTGCAAGATATTTTAAAAAAACATGAATTACTGATCAAATAGGTGTAACTAATCTTGCAATTAATATTAACACTTTTATATACAAAATAATAATTACCACCGGACTAAGTTTTGAGATGTCTGTTGTTGAAATTGACTTGATTAAACAAATTATTTGAAAACATAAGGGTTTACTTTGCGATCAAGCACCTGATATAATAATCATGTCTGTTATCTTTTGTTCATGGTTAGCCTCTTATTTTAGACAGACGGTTTGAATTGTGGCGGGAAGTTCCCAATAAACAATTTTGCACAAAGAGAGCGAGGTTATAATAACCCCTTTTATTTTATTAAAGTTGAAATAAGTTTGTTCATTAAAAAAAAAAACTGAAGACTATCTCTCAACTGATCACTATGTTATACAACTGAGTGTTCCATCCTCTTCAACTTCGTCAATTGTGTGTTGGAAACGTCGAAACCAGTTATATCGGATGTCGTTGGAAATTAGTACACACTTTTTATGCGAATAATTTACGGATAAATTACTCCTCCAAGACGCTATAGACGTTAATCTATTTCCTGTTCGGAGTTGGGAGGTACAGTTTTTTTTTACTTTCGGTCAATTAATTTAATTTTCTGTGAAAAACACCACCAGGAAATGTTTTGATTTACTCCGCTTTATTTATAAATAATTTAGTTAACGGTACCTACTAACAAAGAAAAGAAATACCGATTTCAGACAACCTCAGGTTGTTGTGCCAAATAAGACCAAAATTTGAAAATTTGGTTTTTTCTACTTTACTGTGTTGCTCCGAATTATTTTCGTGTTTGTAAAAAAGCCAAAAATATAACTGTTGTATATGACGTTACGAACGATACCTCGTTCCGTTCGAATGTTACCCCTAATTAACGCTCAATCATCTAAATAATATTTTAATGTTTTGGCTGATTTTATTCCTATCTAGGACTATTTTTATTCAGGATAAAGACCGAAAATTATAAATCTGTTACTTAGCGGCCAAGTTTGACATGCGGTCATTGATTTGGAATGGGTTTTGCTTTGTTAATTTATGTTCTGTTCGATTATCCACCTTGAAAATATTGCGTATATAATTTACATTTGTAGCGTCCGGCGACCGGAAACGGCTGGTAGCAGAAGTAGGACTCATAGTTGTAGGTATGTATGTACCTAGCTGATGGGGGCTACTCTTATAGAGGTAGAGGCAAAGGCCGCGGTTCGCATCAAACCCGCGCTTACCGCTTACCTGAGACCGACAACCGCCGTTCAGAAATCATTTTACAGATCAGTAAATTAGACAGTACCCGTTTTCCCACCTCTTCTGACTTGGCAAGCTAACACTGCCGATTCGTAAACCGAACAGCATGTAAGCAATTTACCGTGTCAATTTCCATGGATCGGTTGTTCTGTTCTGTAGTCTGTAGTCTGTAGTTGGATAGAAGCAGGTCTGTAACGTGTGGTGTGCCGTGGTGTTGTTACCTGTGCCTGTACGTTGATTTAAAACTGAACTTCAAAGTTGAATGGCCTAGGATGTACATCGCTATTTAACTGTATATTGCTAGTGCAGTGGAGTGATGTTGAATATTTTAATAACAATGGTAAATTATTAACTTTACAGGTTTTGTGAATTGTCACGGCCACTCTTCAGGTAAGGACAATGCTACTATGTTGTTACCTCCATATAATGTAACATTCGCACTTGAAACGGAACCTTTGACTTTACGATGAAGATTTTAATATTAGGTAGTCGATACATGAATTAACCGACAAAAGTTTACGAAACAGTCTAACCATACATGTCTATTAACTACTTGCGTATCTAGGATTACTCATTGTAATTTATTTAACTTGAAAACATTGTTTATTGTTTTATTAATATTTTAAAAAATGGCTAATGGTTATATTGAATAAATTTTTAAAAGGTTTTTTTAATTCAACAAACTTGCGTAGAACAACAATATTTTGTTCTTTTGTGGTAAAAGTTGATTATATTCTTTTATTATTATATTATATATATTTATATTCCATGAAACAAAAATATTTCAAAGAATCAATTTTTCTTCACAAAACAGTTTATCATATGTAAAAAATGTCTTATTAACAGATGCATAATGTTACAACTTTTAAACCGTAACTTACGGTTTTTAATAAAAATAAATAAATAAAACTTATTTTCCTTAACAAATTTATTTTTTATAATAGTTCATTAATGATTAATTAATCAGACAGCTTACTTCTTGACCAATTTTACATAAAGACATAATAATACAAAAACAAAAAAAAAACAAAAGTAAATGAAATTTAACTTGGTATCTGCATCATTATCATAATTGTAAAATATTTCGTGCTACATTCTTGAATTACTGCATTGAATTATGAGTAAAATTGTGGATCTTATATTTGTCGAGTAGTTTGCTGATTCTAAACTGGTAGATGTTCATAATGTAATTCGTGTTATATGCGGGAACACAAAACAAATTATTGAACCTCGGCGGAGTATGAAAACAAAAATCCTGCAAAATAGGAGAATAGTCGATTAGTTTATTTAAAACCTTCAACCCAAAACAGATGTCCAAAATACTTTAATAAGTCTATAAAGACCAGAATTTTGACTTATATTTGACTAGAATGTTTAACCACTTTTTCTCAATCTTTTCAAGTCTTCCTTTGAATTTTCGTTCATACGTACCCACAGTCACAATACACGGAGAATCATTATCAATCAACCTAAGTTTTATTAACAACTCTTGTGACTTATTGATGTATACAAGAATAATATACCACACATATGGCAACAGAATTCTGAATGAACATCGTCAAAATTTATTAATTCAAAATTTTAATTGTGTAGTGTGTCGCAAATGTTATACTCCATCAAAGAAATCGTAATACATATTCCCAAAGAAAGTACCTACCTTTATTTTTTTTTATATTTGGCGACTTTGGCTATGTTGGTATTAGTTTTGTGATGTTTCTAAATAGGCGGTACTTTACTTATTGTTAAAGTCATTGTATAGTTTTCTTTATATATTTTCGTAGTAGTTTTGAAATAGTTTTACTCCCGTATTTAAACGTACCTTTCAGTTTAATTTATTAACATTATCTGTTAAACTATATGTATATTGTATATATATTTAATTTAATAATAATGAATCTCGTAAACCAGTAGCTTTTTAGTGGAAACCGTTGAACTTATGTTTAGGAGTTTTATGTAATTTGTGTTGTTTTTGACATCCCAAACATTTGGTTGAAATTCACGTTTTGTATATCATTCTTAATTACAAGAAGAATACAGTTATTACGGATTTTGTCAGATTTATAGGAATAGCTTTTGCGTGGAATAAAATTTAATTATGCAAGATGAATGCCACCTAATTGGTCTTCTTGAAGCTAATTAAACCAAAAAATACACGTCGGGTATCAACAATATAATGAAATTTTGCCCGCTTTGAAAATGTTCGTATTGTTCACAAGCAAAAATGGTCATTTTCAAGGATGGTATTTAAATTCTTTAAACGTATTATTAGGATCATGAAGATTAATTTCGACATAGTAAAAGCGAAAGAGTTTGGAGAATAGTGGACTGAAATTATTTTGTAGCTCGGGGCAGAAAATAATTAATGCACAGCAATTTCGTGACTATATGGCCGCCTATTTCAACCTGCATCCTGAGAAGCTCCACACAAAGAATGTGGAACGATGGCGGATGGCGGCAAACCGACATTTTTTATCTCCGATAATGTAATATGGTTCACATGTTCAGATCAAAATTCTCAACATTAATAATGACGATGATATTGTTATTCAAACAAAATCAAATTCCAACTAAAAATTTTATAAAATAAACAAAATAAACAGGTATATTGTAATCAGTACACGTTAACATCAGCGATCATTTTTAATGCCATATGAATACGAAATGTATTCAGGTGTAGAATGTCATTTTGTGGTAACGGACAAAAGATTTGTTTTTGTACATGTCAGCTTTATTGTCCGGTTAATAAGTTGATTTAAGTGTAATTAAGTTATGTATATATATATTTTATATATGTATATGGTGTCCACCCTCGTAAGTGACTGACCTCCAAGCACCAAGCACCCACTCACAATCCGAATGCTTAATCCATTGTGGTAACGCTGAGAAAGTGAGATTACTGTATCCCCCTAATAACTAAGACCCAAACTTGTTTTTTCTTTTATTTAAGCTTCTTTCTCTCATTGTAAAATAAGGACACAGAATAGAAAGAAAGATGATAATAATAAAACAAGACTACAAGACAAAATCCATTGGCCGTTCTTTAATTATTTATATATACATTATATACATATATTTATGTATCAAATGTTTTCATATTTATTTTTAGGTTTTTATCTTATTATGGACTGTATTTTTTGTTCCAAGCCACGAATAATTCACTGCAAAATAATTCTTTTGGATGAACAAGAGTTTATTCACGAAATCGAGGTAAGTGTTTATTAGAAAATACCAAATACTCACCGACTTACAGCATATATATTTAATGTGTTTTATAACTAAAATCTAATTGTTTTTATGTATAAAATTAGCTAAATGATTTCAACTTTATTGCCTATACCTACTTGTCCATATATGATTATTCATGTTGCATCATATAAGTTTTGGTCGAGTCGTGAGTCAGTGACACCTTTTTCTTTGTACTTTTCGTTTTCACGTGTTATTTAATTTTGTGTCGTTTTCCCATTGCCGATTGGCGATGAAACATTATTGCGTGATAAAATGTTTAGGTGCGGCCTAACAATTAATGCCTAACAGATTTAAGGAAATCTCTCAAAGTAGTAATTTCGTGTCTAGACGCACGTAATTGTTCTGCCCTCCATCGCGCTTTGGTCTTCAAAAATATTCAAAAGTGTGCAGACGTTTCCTTCGCTTGATTATAGAGGTACGTTGTTACTCCAATGCTAAAAATTGTGAATTCTTCTTAAATTCAAGGTTTCGCGATGCATGTTACTAAACACGGACAATAACTGTTTTACCTATTTTATTTTTGGGTCAGTATTATAATAATATATGTATCGGTTCTTGGAGTATCAATCAGAAGAGATCAAGTCAAGCTTGAGGAAATTTTACTTATTTTTTCGATATAATTCGTACTCGCTCATTCCAAAAGAAAATTTTTTAAAGTTGAGTTGTTTTTTAAATTAATTAAAATTGGTCTGTACATGCATAAAAAATGATTACGAAGGGATAACATGGAATTAATTTCACTCTTCCTTATTTCCAGGATACTTACACTGGGCAAGCATTGCTCGATGTCGTGTTCCGTAACTTAAATCTACTCGAAACAGCTTATTTCGGTTTGCGCTATTTGGATCAAACCGGTCAAACCGTAAGTGACACCTTTGGGAAAAACTTTACCGCAATAATACGTTTTAGCATTGGTTGGATCCTGCTAAAATACTTAGCAAACAAATTAAAGGTTCTGATCCCTTCACTTTTTATTTTGGGGTGAAATTTTACGCTGCCGACCCTTGCAAGTTGTTAGAAGAAATTACGAGGTAAGCACCGATTCTTGAATCTAGGTAAAGCTTTAATTACAGGATTAATTTTATTATGGCCGTGTGTATCTATCGACTCGTTAGATAAGTGTGTCACTAGAGTAGAATATTCGCGTGAAAAAATTATTAACAATATGCGCAGCGAAGGTACTTCGCACCTACTGCGCTATTTAAACTGATTGTCTGTTATTCAGGTATCAATTTTTTCTGCAAGTTAAACAAGACATTTTACAAGAACGTTTATTGGTGCCATTCGAGCTTGCTGCAGAATTAGGCGCGTACATCGTTCAGTGTGAGTATAAATAAATATTTCGTTAGAAAAGACCCAAGTAAACAATTTCAGCTGAATTGGGGGATTATGACCCCCGGCGTCACAGTAAAGGTTACGTTTCTGAATTTCGTTTCCTTCCTAATCAAAGTATAGATTTAGAAACGAGAATTGCAGAACTTCACAAAACTTTAGTGTGCGTAGATTGTTAATAAGATAAGAAAATAAGTGATAAACTAGATTTGTTGCAGAGGTCAGTTACCATCTGTAGCGGAACTAAACTACCTCGAAAAAGTAAAATGGCTCGAAATGTACGGAGTTGATCTACACCCAGTATTGGTAATATAAATGAGTATGACCATATTTTTGCAATAGTGATCAGTCAAATGAACAGGGGGAGGACAGCGTGGAGTACTTTCTAGGATTAACACCAAGCGGAATAATAGTACTGAGGAATAAAACGACAGTAGGAAATTATTATTGGCCAAGGATTACGAAAATATATTTTAAAGGTCGATATTTTATGTTAAGGGTCATCGATAAAAACGTTCGTAGGTTTTTATTTGGTTTTTCCTGTTAAATGGCACATTTTTTTATAGAACGACGAAAGTACGTACGGATTCGAAACCCCGTCGAAATCTGGCTGTAAGCACTTGTGGAAATGTTGTGTCGAACATCATGCCTTTTTTAGATTGGTTCAGGTAGCACCGACGACACCTGATATCTTCGCGTTAGGATCAAGGTTTAGATATAGGTATGACAAGATATCCACTTGCGACGTGAATAACATTGTTATTATTTATACAGTGGCAGAACTGAAAAACAGGCTGTAAGAGATGCGCAGATGAAAGTTAGAACTCCACCTTCGTTTTCTAGGACACCTTCAAGACGATACCAAAGACGAATTGCAGAAGGAATGGCTGAACGTAATTAAATACGTACCCGGGACCAGTCGATGACGATTTATCTGGAGCAAGTCTTGGAGTAATGTGTGGCCTTTAAACTTGGGACTTGCTTCGTATCTGCATCGGCTTAATTTACATATTTTTTGGCATTTTATTTTATTTTTATTTTAGAATTACCAACGGATGAAACATATGGACGTTCCCAAACTCAGTCACAACTTCAAGAAATGAAATTCATTTCGGTGCCTCAACCTGTCCAAAAGTAAGTTAAACGTAGATGTTGACATGTTGACAAGAAGTAATGTCTGTTAAGTTTCGGAGGTTCTCATCCGTCCTTCGTCGCACCGAATGAAGAAACCAAACGTACAGATTCTCCAAGAAGTATTAAGAGCGCTCCTTGGTCGCAACCACATTCCAAAGGTCTTTACAACAATTCTATTCCTGTTAGTCCACGATCGGTACGTTCAGCAGGTCCTCGATACAGATCGTCATCTCTCGACAGCCAAAGCTCTAATGATTCTCGTTCTTGTAAAAAGTAATACGTTTCAAAAGAATATATTTTTTCGTAGCTCATGCAAAATTTTAGGCGAAAACATCGTAGCAAATTAACTTCTGATAATGAAAGCGAATTATCTAAAAGTTCAAATAGATCTCACCGAAAGCACAGAAGACGTAGATCAAAAAGTTCCAGAAGAGACTCGGAATCAGAACCTGAATTACATGACAGAAAATATTCGAATAAAAGGTGAGAATTGCTTTACGTAGCATAGGGTCAGTTTGTTACATTGGATTTCAGGCAAACGGATCATCAGTACGAACTCGTCAATTCTGATTATCAGTGGCAGGAAGTTCAAAGAAAATTACATAACGAAGGTAATTCTAATAGCATCCAACAGGCTAACGTAATCAGTAGTCGGCGATCCCACCATCAAGCGTACAACGAAGTTAGAAACGATTGTGACATAGGTTATAGTAATAAAGTTCGTAAACATCGCAAACATAGATCTCGATCTCGCTCACCCTCCGAAGCTAAGTCGTGGCTTTCCGAAGAATTAAAAAAACATTTAGAATTTGATCTTATCGACACTACGGGCATGTCTGATTCACAACTGAAAGAAATTCCATATACGGTAGTTCAAACAAATAAACCTAAACATGTTAAGAAGCTTAAACAATCACAGTGGAATAAGAGGTAAATAAAAAATAAAATGTTATTTACCACGTAATTAATGTTTTGTAGTATTCATGATGACAAGACCTGTAATACGCCACCCCCACCGTATTCACCACACATAACTGAAACGCATAGAATGCGTAATGTTTGCTTAGGTCATTATAATTTAAATGATGATTTGCCAATCCAAATGTCCTGCAATAGCAGTGATATTAATATTGCTGACACGCTTCTGCCCAGGTATTACTAAATTATGGCAGATTATAGCGCCATCTTATTATGTATTGTAGGATGTTTAACACGTTAGATGTTGGAAATTTTCCAAATAATTTTAGTCATCTTTCTAAAAACAAAGATACGGCTAGTTACAATGCCATTGTGGATAGGAGACACGACAATTCAGACCATTTAGGAATAAGCCACGAACATACGGATTCTGGTTTGGGAACCGAACAAGACTGCATTTATAATAGCGACAATAAGTAAGAATTTGAAGAGAAGTTTTTGTTAATTAATTTATGTTTTTTCAGATCTAGAGATTATTGCAGTGAGAATAACAGGATAGCGCTTAACAACGTCGAAGATTATTTATTGGTGAGTTTTTATCTAAAATTTTGAAATACTTGTTATTTATTTATACAGGAAAGTGATAAAATAAGAAAGTTTATAACACGGTCAATGATTTTAAAATAGATGTAATAAGATTTCAGGTTCAGAGAGATTGTCCAGTGCTGCTGAACACCACCTATTGTCGGAAACATCAGAAGCAGCTACTACCAACGAGAATGCTACAAACACTTCAGCGGTAGATTTGTCTGAAATGAGTACAGAGTTGTAATTTCTATTTTTTATAAATTTATTGGCACTCCAACTGACTCGTAATTTTGGTTTTATAATATATGAAAATAAATTATATTATCAGACAATAAGGTATAATTCATTTCAAATCGTAGGCACCTACAGCAGGCTATGTACCCTGATATGCAGATATTTTACAAGTTTTCTTCTTGTCCCTTCTGAAATTGGGAGGTTATGTTAAAGTTGTAAATTTATTTTGAAATTGTACGATTATTCATTTCGGCATTTTTTAATTTCTAAATTCTTGAATACTGAATAATGTATTTTAAAATAAATAATAAATCGACACTAGCGATAAAATAAAAATCAAGTATTACTTATAGTGGACTTCGTCAAAATATCCTTCTACAGTACTTGAATGGATTTTATGGTAGGGAAGTAATAAAATATTACTCAAACACAAGCAGTATTCCAATAAAAAATTATTTAACAATAAATAAATTACATTAGATCAACCGTTTCTGAAATGCCTAAAAAAATAATGTAAGAATGTTATTTGTTATCATGTTTGTTTCACATTGTATGTTATAACTGGACCTAGCGTCTGTTGGTTGGAATAAATTATTATTATAAAAAAATCTAGATATCAATTATGTTTTATACATTATATACATTAATACATGACATAATTAACAGTCTCCTATTTACTTAAATTTGAAAGCAAAAATTTACAAATAGAATAAAGATTCTCCAATTATCTCGTATTATACGCCTTTATAATGTGTTGCAAGTATTCGGCATTGCGTAAAATGCACTTAGCTTGGGCGTCATCATATAAATGGGTTTCCGGAATTAAACTTTTTGCAGATTACTATACATATGATAAGAGCATTCATGGAGTAGGTGCAAGATTCAACAAATTTAGGTACCCTGTTTAGAAGCTATCGTCATATTAGGCGACTTTCTTCTACTTCAATTAATCTGCATTGTTTAGATTAGAGTACTTTGTTGGTGTAGGCTTTACAAGTTTCCACAACCTATTCCTCTATTGAGACAGTATAAAATTCACATTTAGCACTTGACTTAAAGTGGCCGTTTGCATTTTAATTTATTATTCATTAATTATTATTAGTTATTTACTACGTCCGGAAAACTGCAGTATTTGTTCAGTAAGAAAGCCAAGATATTTAAAAAAGTGTAGGAGGAAAATTAAAAATATACTGTGGTCAGTGTTTTTGATAAATTTTTCTTAATTTTACATTTGATAATTTATAATTTGCAAAACGTAAAACTAGTGGCAACAATTAAAATTTTGGAAAGTTTACAATCGTAAATATGTTTTCAATAAATAATAATTATGTGGTAATCTTGATGGATGAAATTTTACCATCTGCTCTTTCTGCTAAAAAAAAAAATAAAAATCATTTTCATATATTCGATATCTTTTCTTACTTCTACTCACCCTCTCTTTGACCATCGCTCGGGAATCGTCGTTTAACAGGATAAAAAAAATGGTCGAAGGTTATTTCGACAGAATTTCCCTTGTTCCTGAAGTACAGTACAACAAATCCAGCTTTTTCGAAAAATTATAGATCTGATTTTTTTTCCAAAAATCTGGATGTCTAAGGTGAAAACTCAACACGGATTCATACATCACAAGTGAAGGAGTATCTTATTTTACAAAATAAAAAAATATCGTAAATTTTGACGTCATCCCATTAGTGGTGGGGATTGCTAACCAAATTTTGGTTAGCGTTTTACCATTTATGGTATTCCTAATAGTATACATACAAAATTTGGCAACAATCCAGTAGTTTCGGAGATTACGTGTCTAATAAAAGTCGATGCAGACGCCACACAAACAAACAGACAGACAGACGGAAATGGAAGATCACTTTTTTGTACTCTAGACGTCATCAAACGTCGAAAAAACATGAAAATGAGAAGTCGCCCGATGGATTCGATTACTATATTTCCTTAATTTATTTACGCTCAGGAAGTAACATAGTGCCAACTAACAATTGCCGACTAAATACTTAGTGATGGTCGATGAACTAATCTTGTTTACATATGTTTAAATATTGTCTTCCTGTGCCAATATTTTTATTTATTCATGATTATGCGCGTATTGTCCTCGAGCAGAGCGTGCTGAAGGGTCTAAAGTGATTACATCAGAAAAATCAACCATTGTGGAATCTATGAAAGATCCGGAAACATCCTTATTGAATATGCATGTATTATACACTTCAAAGTGACTAGCGGCCATAGTGGAAAACAAATTGACAACTGATTAACCGCCGCTACACCACAGCATAACAGATTATCAAAACTTCGTAAACAACTATTTTCCGTGGTAAGTCTTTTAGGATTTACATAAAAGTTATCTATGTCAATGTATCCAGTAAAATCTTCATTAGAAATCGTAAGAAATATACGATAAGTAAGTATAATTCAAAGCAGTAATAAGCACATTTTGGCCAATGTCTTGTTTCAGTTAGATAGCTGATTTTATCTTCCAAGATATATTTTTTTAAATTAACAATTAACATTTTGATGAGTAGGTACATCCATTTTGTCTACTAAAATGGACGATTACAGTTTCCAACATTTTTTTCAAGTGCTTTAACCACAAACGTATTTTTTTTATATTAAATATGTTCGGGTGTATCCTGCATTCCTTGAAACAAAACAGTGGCCGTTCGTCCGATGGACTTGATTACTATACATCCTTAGCTTACGCTCAGGAATTAAGTAAAAATTAAGCGGATGTTTAGTTTTGAAAAATAGCAGTTATTTTTTTTATTTTATTGCGCCTCTTCGAGGGCATGAAATTATAATTGAAATGGGTAGCGAATATATAAAATAATCAAGCTAAATAAACAGTTGAACAACTTGTTGTTTTAAATCGTGTACACTAGGTACTTACTTGGTCGACGCACATGTTAAATGCAGCGGAACTAATCCGTTCATCTTCCCCAGCATATTATGTCGTAAATTTTTATAACATGTAACTGCAGCCAATAATAAAATCAGGTACCTACCAGCCCTTAGTGGGGTCATTCATTTTCCTTTATGCTTGTGACTGGAAATTATTCGAAGCCCATTCCTTCTTCGTCTCTGCACATTTGAATCTGTGATGGTTCTTCTACAAAATAGCTAGCGGCATGCACCAAATCATAAATTGGTTTAGTTTTAAAGTAAATTAGTCACTTTTATGGTAAACATTTTTCTAAATAAAATACGTTTTTATTGCAGTAACAGTTATTGTGCCTACGAATATAATATTTCAAAATGGTTGTCGAGTAGGCCATGACTGTGCAAACCCACCTTTAGCCTTTGGTTACAAAAATGTAACTAAAATATCAATTTTATTTACAAGAGAGAAGTTTATGATAGATAACAACGGCAAACTGCCGTTCATTTAAAAGCGGCATTGCTTTTATTATAAAAATTTGTACGATAAGCAAATTGAAAATGACGGAAAGTACACACCACAAACTGACACACGTTTCTGACAAGGCAACTGAAATGTCAGTTTCATGATTTCAAAATTAATATATTTGATGAACCACCAATTTTATTTAGAATTTTCACAGCCATTTGCGACCATGGTATGTACAAGAAGTCTTCTTGTACCATGTCTGCGTCGACAACCAATTTGAAAGAAATAATATTATTATGAAAGAAATCCATACGCCGCCCCGGTACGACGCCTATGGGTTCTAGTATGTACGACGAAAATGACTCATTGTCGGTGACGGCGGTTACATATATTTTAGGATAAAATTAAATCAAATTAAATTTCATCCTTTTACTGTTGTTGCGATATGCAGAGTCGACTTTTTTTGCGAAAAAAAATGACGATTGGGTTAATTTTTCACATTCTGGCGACTGTAGACTCAAGAAATGCGTTAAACTTCATAAATGTTACTGTTTAGGTTTTTCTTGTGTTTTGTAGCGTGTCCGGCACCTTATGGGCTGGAAAATACCAAGGAAACCATAAAATTGTAGCTAAAAATCTTGTTTTGGTCTAATTTTGAGTTCTGAAGTATAATCCGGTTTGTTTTGACGATTCTAATCGACATGACGTATTTGCGATATGCAGAATAGACCTATTTTGCGAAAACGAGACAATTACGTACGTTTTTTACATTTTGGTGTTTATAGATTGAAGAAATTCGTTTTAGAAATGTTACTTTTCAAGCTTTTTGTTGCGTTTTTTAGCGTTTCTGGTACCCGATGGGTCCGAAAAAACCAAGGAAACTATCATTACTGTTTGTTGAGATAGTCATTATTTTAATGTAGTGTTACGCTAACGAAATAAACCCATACGAGCGGTACTGTTTAAATAGGGACCACTGCCGTCAAATCCATTCCAGTCGAGTTGGAATTATAGACGATAAAACGTTAAATAAAATTTGGTTAATCATTCCTACCACCAGTGGGATGGGATCTCCAAAATTTACAATAATTTTTTTTTTTAGTTTTACAGAAATACTTAACATACTTGTTCCCTTATGAGATGAGATGTGAATCGGTATTGAGTTTTCATCCTCGACACCCTTACTTTTTGAAAAAACATCAAAATTGTATAACAACATTTTGCAATTTAACTTTAAAACTGCAAAACCGAATGCTCTGAAATCTTGCAAACGTTTTAAGGTTATCATAATCATGATAAATCGTTAATCAAAATTTATCTGTTTATCCTCTCCGAAAAAAGTAATAACGTTATCTCAAAATTTTGACAAATAAATCGTATCGTAATATCAATGCACTCATAGTTTTTAGAATTGCTTATAGGTACAGGTGACTCAAAAAAATTATTGAATGAGGCAATTTATTTTCTTAATTAAATCAAGTTACTCCATTTCCCGAAAATTTGGGAATACAGTACTGTTATTATTAGTGTTGATGACGTCATCACAAAATTTGTGTAAATTTTTAAGCGCATCGAGTGCAATTCATGGGTGCAGGTATAGTTTCCCCAGTTCTAATTCGGTTTTATGATGTGTAAAAGGTAACTTCCTTAACAATAGATTACTA